TGTGTTGAAGAATTGCCTGTATTTTATTGACAAGCCCAACTTGTTAATACTTCCTATTATTTTTGGCTATTACAACTAATAAGAATACGAGACATTAAATTTATGGAAAATTGCATTCCATGACCCTATTTTGGAACTTTATCCCAAAAATTTGATCATAATCTAAATATCTAAAATATCAAGACAAAATATTAATAAATTTCTTTTAAAACATTTTTTAAAAATGACAAAACATATAAAAAATCAAGAGTGTGAAAATATATAATTAATTGAGCCATATATTCAAACTAAATTGCAGTGAGTCAAAAAGGTAAAATGTATAACTGGTTAATAAATTAAAATATATATTATAAAAAAATTAATTAATCAAATTTAAGTTAAAAATCAGTTTAAACCATTTAACTAAAATAGTTTTAAAAAATATATTATTTTAATATTTTTCTAAAAATAAAGAAAAAAATATTTTCTAAAAATTAAAAAAATAAATTCTAAAAGTAAATTTTTTTTACCAAAAACAAATAAAAAATTCCTGATTTTTCTTGAATATATAAGAGTACATTTTTCTGAAAAAAAAAAGTTTTTGTAAAAATATGTTTTCCTTCAAAAATAGGAAAAATTGAGTTTTTTTGTTTTTAAAACAAATAAAATTGGAAAAAAAATGATTTTAAAAGATTTCAAAATATAAAACTGCTTTATAAATGTAAATAATTACAAATCGATTTTAAACTGAATTAAAATAACTTTAGTGGTTACTTGTTCTTGTTTCGTTCTAGAACCAGAAATAAAGATATATGTGGAAGCTACGACGAAAGAGGGTTCCCGATGCGGCGGAGCTGGGGTGTACATGCAAGGTTAACACTCTAACGTTCAAGTTAGTATGTGAAAGAATTGAGTATTCAAATTGTGCTTAAAACTTGTTACCTAAAATGGCGACATTGCCTATATATATGAGGAAGGATAACGGCTTCGCTATCTTTCATGCGTAGAATCCAGATGATCGTTGGATGTGGGTGAGATGTAGATCTCCTGCAGCGAGGTACATGATAATCCAGCCGTCAGAAGAAGATTCTAGAAGTGTGATAGAGCAACCAATTGATATGTTTTGGTCCAAAGTGTTCTATCTTAGGGTGGTCGAGTCGAGAGAGATATGCTCGGCCCAAAACAGTTGCCCTCATGCTTAAGTATCAAGGTGAGGGTCTAGAGAATCGCGTCTTCGGCTACCGATCACCCCCCTCCTTATGCTTCTGTTGTTTGGAACGTCAAAAATATACTCAGACTGTCATTATGATCAATCTTGGAAACTGAAACGCTTGAGTGTTATGTGCGGAGAAACGTGATTGTTGATATGACATCTTTCTTTCCATATTGTCAGTATATAATTATAGAAAGAACTAGAGTCAATTCTCTTTTAATCCTTCATTTTCTCTTCATTCTTAAGTAGTTATCTTTCTTCTCCTTTGAAATTTTATGTGTTTGTATTTGAGATCATTAGTGCGACATGACTAAAAAATCATGAAAGAGCGTGAAAGGGAACATAGAGAACCCATTGTCTGCGTGGGGAAGGTTCCATATATTCTTCAACTATTTCTATTTTTACAAAAGAGGGGAATCTGGATAAGGTTTTCTCTAAATTGGGGGAATCATTGCTTTAGGGTTTCACTACCCTTGAGAATATAAAATATGTTGTGAGTATGGTAATTGTACTATCCCTTTGTATGAATATCTCTTATTGACTTTGAATGTTCGCTTTCCCTTAACTACCTTTAAGAATAGTTTTTTCAACTACTTGATGGTGACTCATTCGCAACTCCATCTGTCGGGTTGAGTGTATGTAAAGGCCTATCAGTATTAGTGTGAATATCTGAAGGCAAAACCCATGTCATCATGTTTTTTCATCTCTTTTGCTGCCATCGGGGTACTTTGGCCCGACCAAGATAATGAGATTTGGTCCTCTTGGTTCAATGATACAGATTTGTAAAGACTTTCTTGTCTTACCTCCCTTTACGTATCAGTTTTTTTGGTTGCCCCCCTTCCATCCCTTGGCTCACGCGACCACCTATGGGGCCTAGTCAGGAGTGGAAGGTGAGTGCAGACCCCCTGTTCCTCATTACTGGTTGGCGAAACATTTTCCTCCAAGAAAACAACACCTATTTTTATGGAGAGGATATTTTTCCTGATGAGGATTCTTTTCAAAATAAGAAACTGCTAGACTTTGTTAACTACCTCGGTTATCTCAAAGGTGTAGTCCCCTCCGCTGAGACTGATAAAAACCATTTAAAGCATCTGACAAACATCTCCTTGTTGATATGAGCTCTCTCTCATGAGGATCGTCGAGTTATCTTTGGTAAGTTTGGAATTTCCTTTATCCCTCTATTGTTGGTTTTCCCCTTCTTTGGGTTCGTATCTGGATAACAATAGAAATTTTTGTGCAACTGTAATAGAGGATGAAGCAAGGTTCTAGGTCCTGAAGCGGGGAATACAACCACCCGGTGTAGTATTAGGCTCTTTTCTTTCTTCAGAACCTCCTCAAAATGTTTCTCTTTTGTCTTCTCCTCTGAGTTAGCAAACAGATCCTGGAACTAGTCCTGGTCATTCTCGTGACAGCCGGGATTTTATCTTTGATGATGATTGGGAATTTTTTACCAATCTCTCTGGACATGCTTTAATGGAAGAGTTGTACAATCTGGCACGGTTTATTAGGTAAGCTTCTATTGCTCTAACTCTAGGCAGATCTAGGAGCAGGGAAGTCCTTTGGGCATACTGGGCACGCGACGAAAAGCGTCAGTTGGAAAGAAGTGTCAGCATATTGTCTTTCCAATGAGACTTATATTTAAAATATTTGCAAAAAGTTTTTTCTTCCTTGCAAGAGGTAAACAAAGTATTGGCTTCGCTTAATCTCCATGGTACTAGTGGTAGCTGGGTGATGAATTTGGCGAGAGTCACGGAGAGGAAGACTATGACTCTTGATTTTTCCCAAAGGGAGTTAGAGTTCTGGCATAGTTAAAATGTTTCTCTGACCTGAGAAATGAAAGAATGTTCTTCTACGAGTCGTGGGGCGATTACAGAGTATTTCAAGAATGTGTTGTAACAGGTGGAGCATTTTCACCATCCACTAGTTATCTCAATGGAGCAAATCCGACCGGGTCAGAAACTTCAAGATGGAAGGGGCTTCTCTATTCTTGAGTAACCTTCTGTATTTTTTTACCCTTTTTATCGGGTTTTAGGCCTAGGCTTGTGGTGAGTACTAAATTTTGGTGAATTTAAGTCTAAATAATTAGCACTCATCAGCTTAATTTGTTTGCTTTCGTCAATAAATCTCAACTTTAGTGTATATTCGATATAGTTTAAGTTATAGTGTATATATTATGTTATCGCATAAATATCATTGAGTTTAATTTTTTATCTCATTTTTTTAGGTATTCAAGCATTGATATTTAGTCATTGTTAGATAGAGCATTGAATAAGCTTTCCAACACTTTCGACGTGCGCAAATCAGAGTTACGGTTCTCAAGTATTGCAAAAACAATGTTGATTTTTCCATTTACTGCCAGGCTCGCCCCAAGCTCTCTGGGCGATGCAGAGGCGAGGCAGAACACCCAGAAACGTGAAAAAACCTTATTTTAAGCCCCAGGCGAGACTGTCTGGGCAGAAATTCATTATAAAGGGGAAAACACATTTTTTTAGGTAATGTTTATGGGTTTTTGATCCCAATTCATCAACCACCATTTTTTTGGTCTTTAGAGCTTAAAAAAGCATCAATGGAGGTTGCAACTCGACGATTGGAGGTAGATGATTCTTGGATCGTGATTGACATCGCGAGAGATGTTGATTCTTCTTCTCTCTTCCTCTTGTAGTTTCCATTTGTTGTGAGTTTGTATGTAAGTTTACCTTGATCATATGTATATTTATTGCTCATGGTGTTGTATGAAACTCATTTTACAAATCGATGTTGATGATCGCTTTCTTTATTTAGGTTTGGGTTGTTGCAAAAATGGACGGTTCGAATCCGGATTTAGAATGAACATCTATTGGGTTTTAATTCTAGAGATAAATTAAGGCTTAATATTCATTTGAGTATTGAAACTTAATGATTCAATGTTATTTGTGTTGCGCTGAGAGATCGCTGACGCGAGTAATACGGTCGTTGTCTCACTCTGTGTTAGAGATAACCTATGTATGATAGATGCGTGATATTATTGATGAGTGATTTAGGTTGAGTACAACTGGGTAGTAAGTTTAAGTATTTTATAGGTTAGATGAAATGCAAACCCGAGAGTTCTCTACTCTCAGAAGAATGTATTTATTTTCTATTCATAATTTAATTCTCGCATTTACTTTAAACCCATTTAAATCCAAACTCTTAAATGTCAGAATTTGTCGAACGTCAAGTCAGTAGCACTAATCCATGTGGTGACTAAATGATAAAACTAAATACTTACTTACTTTTTCTTTCCGCTTTATTGCTTCAGCAAAATGGCATCGTTGCCGGGGATTGATATTTTTATTGTTTCGCATTAAGATAGTTTGTTTATTAGTGAGTTTTTCACACAACGTCTATATTGTCTATAATGTGTAAATATAAACTTGTTTATATTGATACTTGTGTATGTTTACCAAATTTGTGAATTTTTACTTGGATTCGATACTTGTGAATATCGTGTATATGTTTGTTTCTCTTCATGTTTGCTAAGGTGTTTGGTTAAGTTTCGCCGTCGGTGAGCACTAATCGTGTAAAAAGGCAACTTGGAGAATATGTATAAATAACAGGCGTCGAGCTTATGACATAAAAAAGCATGTTTTATTGTTTTTAGTTTCTTTATTGTTTTTATTGTATTAGTATAGGTAGTGTGGTGAATTGGTTACACAAGTTGAAACTAGACCAGTTCTTAAAATTCCCAAATCTTCACTTTTTAACTTGTTTAATTCAATTTCACCCGGTCTTTTAGTATGTTTATAGTAGTTGTTTTAATCTGTCATTTTTGTATTTGTCCAAGATCTTGTTTTGAGTAGCTTGAGGAAGTTTGAGGTGATTTTCCAAGTTGATTGTTTCAACTTGTGGATGTATGGTAATGATATTGTTTTGAAGTTGGTACACGTCAGATACTCGTTTATCGCTTTCTATAGCATAGCATGTTTTAGAAACTTATCATTCATACAAATTCCATGTCGTTCATTCTTTTATATTACTTTCTTTTTTATTGAATCACTTTAGTTCCCTTTTTACCCCTAAATGTGAAGAAGTTTTCCATTGTTCATATACCTTGGAGGCCACAATTCTTTTTTTAACTGGATTTCGTTATGTTTAATCTTTTGTTTGTGTTGATTGTATGAAAGCATGGAAATAATCAAGGCATTTTGTTTGATTTTGAGTACAACTACCTAACCAAATAGTCAATTCACCTTATGAGTGTGTGAACTTTTGTTAACCCTTTTTGAGCCTTTTTGTCAAATGTCCATGTTATTTTGGAACTTGATGCTTGTCTATGAGTGTTTATTTCACCATTTGAATGGATGTCGATTCTTTATTTTCTTGAATCCTCAACCATGATTTATGGTTTGAATTTTTGCTTTGCCTTATAAAGTAGGGAGTATTCACACATTGATGTTGATTTAATTCAAGTTGGGGAGAGAAATGTTTGCTCACTTATGTTGTTGGTTGCTATACGGTTGTTAAAAAGAAAAGAAAAAGAAAGAAAAAAGTGAAAAGGAAAAAAAGAAAAAGAAAGAAAAAAAGAGAAAAGTTTTTAAAAAGATAAGCAAAAAGAGTATCAAATAATTATGCTAATAAGTAAAGTGTGTTTGGTGTAACACTTGGGATGAAAGAAGGAGTTTGATTGAAATTTTGTGTCTGAACTTTTGTGAGTTGATCACTCCCTTAGGTTTAGGCAAGTTTTTGTTTTGATTAACTTTAGAAACTACCCCTTGTTTGTTAACCAAGCCACATTACAATCTTAAAAAGCCTTTGTGATTCTTGCATTTGTATATTTAATATGAATTTTTGGATGAACGCATAATTTAGTCTATTATTTGTAAGATTGTGGATGAGTGTCAAATATTCACCTTTGTGTGTTTTTCATCCCTCGGTGAATTTTTGTTAGATGTGATTCATGATGTGAGCATGTAATGTTTTAGATGGCTTAGCATGATTTTTGTACTTAGGATTTGTTTCGTTTTTATGTTATTGTTGTAGTATTATGGTAAGTGTTTACTTTATGTATGCATTTTTGGTTGAACCATACATTTTTTTTCCGAATTCACAACCTGTTGGTTCGAGATTCTTTGATTTTTTCTTTTTGTTTCTTTAGGTTGTTAGAATTTGTTTGAGGACAAACAATGTTGTAAGTTGCGAGAGTTTGATAAGTGATAAATTATTGTGAATTTGAGTATAAATAATTAGCACTCTTCGGCTTAATTCGTTTACTTTTCATCAATAAACCTCAACTTTAGTGTATATTCGGTATAGTTTACGTTATAGTATATATATTGTGTTATTGTGTAAATATCATTGAGTTAATTGTTTTTGTCTCATTTTTGTAGGTATTCAAACATTGATATTTAGTTATTGTTAGATAGAGCATTGAATAAGCTTTCCAACACTTGCGACCATGCGTAAATTCGAGTTACGATTCTCAAGTTATGGAGAAAACAATGTTGGTTTTTCTAATTTACTGTTAGGCTCGCCCTGAGCTCGCCGGGCGAGACTGTTTGGGAAGAATTTCATTGTAAAGGGGAAAAAACACATATTTAGGTTATATTTTGGAGTATTTGTTCCCAATTTATCAACCAATTTTTTTTTGTCTTTAGAGCTTAGAAAAGCATAAATGGATGTTGCAACTCGACCATTTAAGGTAGATGATTCTTGGATCGTGATTGACACCATGAAAGATTTTGATTCCTCTTCTATCTTTCTCTTGTAGTTTCTATTTTTTGTGAGTTTGTATGTAATTTTATCTTGATTATATGTATATTTATTTCCCATGCTGTTGTATGAAACTCATTTTACAAATCAATGTTGATGATTGCTTTCTTTATTTGGGTTTGGGTTGTTGTAGAAATGGACGGTTCGAATCCGGATTTAGGATGAACATCTATTGAGTTTTAATTCTAGAGATAGATTAAGGCTTAATATTCATTTTGGTATCGAAACATAATGCTTTCGTGTTGTTTGTGTTATGTTGAGAGATCATCGACGCAAGTAATACGGTCGTTGTCTCACTCTGTGCTAGAGATAACCTATGTGTGAGAGATACGTAATAATATTGAAAAGTGAGTTAGGTTGAGTATAACTGGATAGTAATTTTAAGTATTTGATAGGGTAGATGAAATGAAAACCCGAGTTCTCTACTCTCTGAATAATGTATTTATTTTTTGTTAAAATTTTTTAATTCCCGCATTTACTCTAAACCCATTTTAATCTTAAGTCATAAACGCGAGAAATTGTCAAACAACAATTTAGTAGCACTAATCCCTCTAGAGAAGATATGATAAAACTAAATACTTACTTACTTTTACTTTTCTCTTTACCGCTTCAGGAAAATGACATCGTTGTCGGGGATTGGTGTTTTTATTGTTTCGCATTACGATAGTTTGTTTGTGAATTTTGCACATAATATCTATCATGTCTATAATGTATAAATAGAAACTTGTTTATATTGATACTTGTGTATGTTTACTAAATTTTTGAATTTTTACATGGTTTCGATACTTGTGAATATCGCGTATATGTTTGTTTCTCTTCACATCTGCTAAGGTGTTTGGTTAGGTTTTACTGTCAGTGAGAACTAACCTTGGAAAGAGATAACTTGGAGAATATGTATAAATAACAGGCGTCAAGCTTACGACGTAAATCAAGCATGTTTTATTGTTTTTATTTTCTTTATTAATTTTATTGTATTAGTATAGGTAGTGTGGTGAATTGGTTAAACAAGTTGGAAATTGACCAGTTCTTAAAATTCTCAAATCTTCAATTTTCAACTTGTTTAATTCAATTTCACCTGGTATTTTAGTATGTTTATAGTAGTTGTTTTAATTTTTAATTTTTGTATTTTTCCAAGATCTTGCTTTGAGTAGCTTGAGGATGTTTGAGGTGATTTTCCAAGTTGACTATTTCAACTTACGGATGTATGGCAATGATATTGTTTGAAGTTGGTACACGTTGGGTACTCGTTTATCACTTTCTATAGCATATCATGTTTAGGAAACTTATCATTCGTAGAAATTCCACGCCATTCATTCTTTTACATTACTTTATTTTTTATTGAATTACTTTAGTTCCCTTTTTACTCCTAAATATGAGGAAGCTTTCCATTGTTCATATATGCTGGAGGTCATAATTCTTGTTTTAACTGGATTTTATTATGTTTAATATATTGTTTGTGTTGATTGTATGAAAGCATGAAAATGATCAAGACATTTTATTTGATTTTGAGCACAACTACCTAACCAAATAGTCAATTCACCTTGTGAGTGTGTGAACTTTTGTTAACCTCTTTTAAGCCTTTTTGTCAAATGTCTATATTTTTTTTGAACTTGATGCTTGTCTATGAGTGTTTAGTTCACCTTTTTGGATGAATGTTGATTCTTTATTTTCTTGAACCCTTAACCATGATTTATGGTTTGAATTTTTGCCCTACCATAGAAAGTATGGAGTATTCCTATATTGATGTTGGTTGAATTCAAGTTGGGAGGAGCAATGTTTGCTCACTTATGTTATCGGTTGCTACGAGGTTATGAAAAAGAAAAGAAAAAGAAAGAAAAAAATGAAAAAGAAATAAAATAAAAATAAAGAAAAAAATAAAAAATATTTGAAAAATAAAAATAAAAGGAGTATCAAATAATTCTGCTAATAAGTAAGGTGTGTTTGGTGTAACACTTGCGATGAAAGAAGAATTTTAATTGAAATTTTGTGTTTGAACT